ACTAATCGGATCACCAGGTATGTTACTGGCTTCAATAAGATTGGGCCAGGAATGTTGCTGGCACCAATCAAATTACACTAGATCTAAAGCTTGCATCATTCAGACAGTGTTACCGGGATTTGGTTCATTTTGTACAGTCACATGCAAAATAATTACTTTTGATGTTCAAAGGCAACTTTTTCTGTGCTGTATGATATCAAGATGCTGCATAATACCTGTTGAACTTGAGGATTACAGTACTACCACAGTATCAGTAGCAGAAATAGGTATTTCTGTTTTACTTATTTAATTCCACAGTGACAAGGACTGGTACAGTATGTTTACTTAATTTGTACTTCCATTGTTACATTGTATATCTGATTGTTTGTTTTTAGAAGTTTTTGATGTTTTAAATTGCATTTAACCAACACAGCTTTGTCGTAACTTGTAACTTTTGTTTAGACACGAAATTTTCATTCAATCTTTCCTTACTGATAAATTTCTCACGCACAAAAATGCTGTTGTTAGCAAATTTTCTAGACATTCTTTGCACCTTGCCATTTTCAACCAAACAAATTTGCCCTTAGCTGCCTGGGACTTTGCCACACCACTTCTTGTATACAACCTTGCCTGTTATCAGCTTATAAAAAACCTGCATTTTAATATGTGTTCCACAGAGGCAAATTCCAAACCAAGATGACACAGAAAAATGATCCTTATCTCTTTGTTCGACACATTTGAATTACTTCAGAGAGTAGAAACTACTGGATGTCTTTGGTTGGGGTTTAGTGGAGATAGTAAATTGAGTTTCCAGTTTGCTTTGCAATGTGAAATTATGCAGTGTGATATTGCATGGTCTGTGATGGAACAATTTTGATTTTGTGAATGACAGAGGAACAGAAGTAAGCATGGCACTGATGCAGTTTATTTTTGCTCATAATCACAAAGAAAAGTGAGATAATAGATTACAAAACACCTTTTGTCTAAATTATTGGTACTTCAGACAGGTTATTTGCTCTTTATTAAAGAACAGTAAAGTGATATTTTTGTTGAAAATATGTTAATTTACAAGGCCTTCCAAGGGGGCTTTTGATGTTGCTATGTGGCTCATTTACCATCACCTACTTGCTTAGGGACAAATGTTGCTGTCGCTTTTTCCCTTGAATAAAAATGTTGCTGTCATACTGAGTTTGGCACTACAGTAATTTCTGACTTGTGCTTGCACCTGTAAGAGTTTTCTTTTTAACAAAAGATCAACCATACATAAATTTCTATTGGCTTAAATAGAATTAAAAATTACAGTGATCACTTCAAGGCCTAATATTTGTGTTTAAATTTTGATTGATGGCTTAGCTTTCTAATAGCTTCCTCACTCATGTAATCATCTTTACACATAGTCATGAAGAAAACAATTCCCTTTGGATAAACATCAAATCATTGATTTGATAAGGAAGTCAAGCAAGGGCCAATTCAAACATCCTGTCATTGTTGTATGGCACTCAACTGATAGTGTCGACAGGCCCACACAACTCTTACCATTCACGAGCAATTTAAAATCTACTTTCTTCAAAATTTTAATAGTTCTGACAGAATTTCTTTTAAATACTTTCCTTACATATTGCTCATTAAGGAGCCATTTCTCCATCAGTGTTATAGAGATTAGTTAAAAACATTGTAGCTTAAAAAGATGTTGAAAGATGTTGACGGGCCTTCATGACCACTGCCATTTGCAAGTGATTTTGAATCTTCCACTTCCAATCAGTGACTCTGACCCAAATATCTTTGCAAGCCCCTGGACAAGGGGTTTTGTATGAGGGCCTAACCTGTAAGCTGACAGGCACCAGAGGTGCAAGATTTTAGGGAGATCCAGAGGCATGCTCCCCCAGGAAATATTAAACTATTAGGTTGTGTATTGAGGGCCAGTTTTTGAAGACCTTTTTTGTATCTTGCTTTCTATTGAATCCCCGTTATCTAATAAACAGAATTTCCCATGGAGTAGGGGGGTGTGTGTTGCACCCATCAAACCATCTCCCTACTGGGTCTGCTTTGTCTTGTCAGAGAGCTTTGACAGGCCTGCATGACTCACCATCTGCATGTGAATTTAAATCTTCTCAGCTTCACAGTTTAGTTCTGACCAGGATATCTTTTAATGACTTTCTCTTGCAATGTGATAATATAGATGGCTTTGAATATTATACTACTATGCAGTTGCATCATAACATAAGATCTAGATTTTTTTCTACTCTTCCTATCAAGCAGGGAGTGATTCTTGGCTAATCTAATCTATAACCTAGGGTTCTTTGATTTAGTGTCCTGCATATCATGTATTCATTTCATGTTAGCATTTGTGCACTGAGCAATGATGTGAATATATGAACACTGCACACATGCTGTAAGCTGGCTAGCCCCCAGCCCATAATCTTAAAGTTGTTAAAGTCTGTCCATACAATGAATGGTCATGGATGGGATTATTGGTCATAATCAATTGACTGACACTGCTAAATCTTAACAAAACTATGTTGAAGTAAAGGCCATCATATAAAGCACTTTAAGAATTATCTGCAATTATTGCCCAATTATCTTTCTCGTCTTTCCTAAAGTGACTCATTTTATCCTCTTTTACACTTCTTCAGAATGCAGTGGGATTTCTTCTTATCTTTCTCCATTTCATTCCAGTTACAAAGATAATACAAGAGTCACCAGGCCTAACAATAATTGGTATTTGGCATGCAAACACTCACATGACCCTTTGACTCCTGTGAGTGACCAAAACAGAATTTCTCCTTACTACAGCTATACGATGTCATGCGGACAAGTAATGAGAATAAAGAAAAATACCAATTATGGGATTACTAATTGATCCAATAGCAAATTCTCCAAACTAGCATAATGAGAAATCATTTGGCAGACTGTTAAGAGAATTAAAAAAGAATTAAAGGGTTAAGGGCGATTATCAATCACATTAAATGGTTTATTAACTTGTTGATGGTTTATTGGCAAAGTAAGGCTGGTAAGATCATAAAAAAAGTCACACTGCCCTGATTATGATGTCTCTGTTAAGAAAATTAAAGTGATAAATGTCGCTTTATCCAAATTAAAAATGGATTGTTGCTATTACAAAATGTCGCTCATTTTCTGTTAATTTTTGTCCAATGTCAGTGCATTGGAAAAAGATTGCTGCCACATTTTTAAGCAATGTCACTTGTTGCCATGACCCCTTGAGAGGCTTCATTTATAAATCAACACTTTTTTACTATCATAAAAATAAAAACATCAATTGCATTTAGTGCCCTAATCCAACCCATAAAATAAAATGCAAACAAACCATGCAAACGCAGGGCTGGATGGCTATGAAATCTTGTAACGTAAAAACATATTCAGATGTATTACTGAATATAGCTTAAGGCTAAACCATAACAAAATGTTTTAACTATTGCAAATATCATCTCCGCGTCATCAATTCCAATCAACGATACCAAAATTTTTTAAGCACCCTCCAATAATATGCACGGGGTTTAGTGCACAAAACATATCCTCAGTTCGAACAATCAGATAACTCAAAGATAATCCACAAATTAATTGTGACGATGTTTAAACAGATAAGCAAGTTTGAAGTCTTTCTGAATACTTTACAAATGCGTAATGACTCGTTATGTTAGGCTGACTACACTGTTCAAAATGATTTATGGTTCACATTTCAAACGGTGCGAACCTTTGTATGTACAGGAAGTTCGCACCGTTCCAAACTTCGCCTAAACAGTGGCTGCAATATTGACATTGTATAGGGTTACAATAAAAGATCTTCTAACTTCCTCATATTTGCATCATAAATTATCAATTCTTCGCAATTTTAACTATCAAAAGAGTGAAGACCAAACGAACTTCATAACATTGCAGCAATAAAATTTGTTTTTTCCAGAAAACATTGGTAAGCTTTCAAACTGGCAAATAATTTCATTTTGTGGAGCGAGTTTGTACGATATAGATTGCACTTACCTGTCTACCGGTTCAAACTCTGGGGTCTCATCTCCCAATAACCTTTCTTTCGCATCACGATCAACTTCCTTTTTCCTCCCCATTTGCTTTAGGCAACATCAAGTTCTTCTCTAAACCCACGACAATTCACTTATCGTTGAAGCCTCCTCAACCACCAGGAGAGGAATGATTACTCATAGGAATGATTCCTCATAGAAATGTTTTCGGTAAAACACAATCTTTGAGTCCGGAGTGTCCGTTTTCATTCACGTGATTTGTAACGCTAATGGACTTGAGAAAAAAATAACACAGAAATACGAATCATTTAAAATAAAAAACAATGCACACTATTTGTAAAGGTCACAAATGGTAACATAACGCATGCGCCATATTGCCGCGTAGACGCGGTAAAATTCTAGCCAATTACAGTTCGCCCTAAAAAAACAGTGCGTGTGCCATGGCATACTTTTACATTGAAGATGATCTCTGCAATCTCATTTGTGCGTTTCAGTATTTATCAAATGCATTCCGTGCCTAATTCCTTGTTAGAGGACAAGTCGTGTTACATATCCGCGATCTCCGATTGGCTAACACATGTACACACGGGACACGCTGAGAGCATACACCCGCAGTGCAAATCTATTTGAGGCTCTTGCAAAATAACCTAATATCTTTTTGTTGTTAAATTGTAGATGGTTTTCAGTTGGCGCAAAATATTTTGTTCTTGCTGCTTAGTAAGATAAGAAAGCTAGATGAATCCATTGTGTTTTTAGGTTTTTTAATTCCAATCTCCATGTAGATTTAGGAGGGTAGCAAAGCAGAGGTGGGGTCGAGATGGGGCGATCCTGATACCATTTTACGCACGAATTCTAGAAATATCCACGTGGCATATGTGGTTTGAACTGTAACTCACGCGTCACGGATTTAAAAAGGGGAAATTTTATACCTCACCTCTCCTTGTCTTTCAGTAAAATATTACTTTTGGGCCTATGAAGCATCACGTACACTCCGTTTGCAACCCTCTTTTTAAAATGTTGAAAGAACTATTAGGACAGAAAGATGGTGATGACATAACTTGAAAGACTGATAAACCCTTGTCCTCAGCTAAGCTAGGTGTCTATAACTGCAAATGTTAAAATCCTATATCTTATCTAATTACAGTCAAACCTGTTTAAGCGATCACCCACGGGAAATGTGGGGTGACCGTGTAACACAAGTTCACGGCTAAAAATAGGTTCCACAGATTAGGGGTAGAATAAAAAAAAAAAAAAAAGATAAAAAACGCCATTTATGGCACAATCGATCACTCACTGCACAAAAACTCGCTAAAAAATTATACCAACATTAATTTTGGGAGAGAACATGAACTGAATTGTACTTGAAAGATAATTATCAGTTTTAATGAGTAGCTCCTCTTTTAGTAGCCGTTCAATACTGGTGGAGGAAATTACAAACAGGTCATTAGGACTCACTCGAAGGTGGCCGCGACTGCTTAAGAAAGGTGAAAATTGCAGTGATTTAGGACTTTGACCACCAACCGCTTTGTGAAGGGTGACCGCTTAATACGGTGCCGCTTAATATAGGTTCAACCGTACTTGCACTCTTGTTTTACTTTCCTTCAGGTAGGGTCACTTGTAAAGAGTGAAATAAATAAACTATAAACACGAGTAAATACTTTCATGAAAAATCAACGATACAATCCAACAGACAGTCCAAAAAATTGTACTTGTGCAATTTTCTTGCAGGCATCAGGAGCTTAGCTGTGTCACATCAAGGGTCAAATCCAGACTACTTGACCCTTCCCTTTCAGAGAAGAAGGGTCAGAAACACCCCAAGACCCCCCTCCCCCCGATGGACAAGTAATGGTCTACATTCTTGATTACTACTGACAGTGACTTGACAAACTTGAAACAATCTTTCTGACTTGTTTCCAAATTAATATACAGCACAATTTTAATAACATTTTGCATTTCAAAAGCTACAATGGTATTTACTTTGTATTAATCTCTGGGCTTTGCAACTGTAAGTAAGCTTCACACCAATCTAACTGTTTTTTCAAATGGAGAGTAAGTTGAAAGCAAAGAAAAAACTCAAAGAGCAACAGAGCTTATTATCATTTTGATATAAGCCTTGCATACATATATTAAGTTTTGTTCTGCTGAGACAAACTCTTTGAATTTATTTCTTTCTTAAATCTTCATAAAATATATATATATAAAAAAAAAACAACTACTGAAAAAAGTGAATCCACTTTCAATAAATGCAAGCCACAGTTTGTCTACTCATAATACTGTAATTGCAGCACTAAAAGAAAAAAGGAATCTCATCAAAATACCACATTTCCTGGCTTCCAATCTTGTTCTGTAAACTGTTTTAAAACATTAGATAAGAATCTGTTTATGTACATGCTGATGCTTAATCTCAGGCAGTAACAATAAACCATAGAGAAAGGAAACTACTAGACACTGCTTGAGGAAATGCTTAACACTACTTTTTGAAATACATGGACTAAACAAATGAACTAGGAAAGTTTCCTCAAACCCTTATTTGAGAGTTCAAGTATGTTATCCCTTTGTTGCTAAATTTTGTAAATTGTAATTCAAGATCAATGGTTATACTTTCTGGAAATACAAAAAAATAATTCTTTATACCTGCCAACCTTTTTTAGTTCATAATTATTTTGTGTGGGACACAGAAGAAAAAGGCAAGATAACTACACACTTCCAAGGATATTGAATGCAGCAGCAGCCTTTACAGAATCTCCAGTTTTCTCCCTTCTAACACCAGAGGTTTTGGGTGAAGTAAGATCATTTCACAATCAAGTGAATGTCTGTTTCAATACATATTTTAGAAGAATGTTACTATCAAGACTGTAATAACAAAATAATGATTACTTCCACTTTGGTTGTCAAAATCTCATTCCCTACTACTGACAACAGTCCTTCTCAGGACTGCCCTTACCTAGATGATAATCACAAAATAAAAATGTACCCCAAGGTTCAAACCATTTACAGAATAACATAAATGTTTGTGACATCTATGAGCTATTAATCAGGAAGGCCATTGAACTGACATGAAATGAACATTTTCTGATCTGCTTGACTCAGAGTTGGCAGGCACAAACAATATGGCTGCTACCAGCTAAAAATCTCCGTTAATCAATAGGATCCACAATCAGTGGTGCAACATACTCAGACCACCTCTGGCCAAAGTGAAAAGAGGGTTGTCTTTTGAATGTAGCATAGCACTGAAAGAGAAGAAAATAAATTCAATCAGATTTCAATTAATAAAAAAAAATTTGCCACACATTTCTGACTATTTACGACTAAACAAAACTGACCATAGATGCCCAAGCAATGATATTTTAGAATTTTCATTTACATGTTTATTTATTGTGCACTAAACATTCCTCTTCTTGTCATCCATCTCAATTTGAAAATGATTACCATTACTTAAGAGGCTCTTGATTATTTAACAAATTCTCCTTGTCAGCATCTCAAGAAATGAATAAAGAACAGTATGGAGAATATGCATACTGATGATAGGATGTCAAGGGTTAATACTAAGCTCATGCAGTGTTTGGTCGAGGAAACTATTGCCATTCTCCTCTCAGTGTTTCAGAAACAAAACTTGAGAAAAATCTTGACATCAGGGGTCACAAAAATATTTCTATAGATTCTTGTTGAACCACATTTGCATTAACCTCCTTGAGATATTCTAAAACTTAGTTCTGATTAGCTGTTGTGATTTCTTTCTTTGGTTCTGCATTTTTGTTGCACTTAATCAAAATGTCCACTAAGATCTTTTCTCACCAGTTCAGGTCTGTGGGCTCCAGGTCCTGGTTTTAGGGTTCGGTCACCAGGTGCATTGTTACGAGCTGTCATGGAAAATATGGGCTTCCTGTTCCTGTAGATATTTGGATCAGTCACTTTATATGTGCCTGGTCCAGGAGTCTGCATACAAAGATGGTGAAAATGTTGAAAGATGAGAAAGAATAACCATAGTATTTATAAAGAAAAGTAAGACAAACTGTATATTAGAATCCATTCTTAAAATCACCTGAAAGCAATCAAAACCATGATACTATATAATTTTGTGCTTTTGTCTGACCAGGATGCTTATATTTCATAAGAAATTGTGGTACATTATTTGTTTCGGAGCTTCATCAAGGAACCAAGGGCGTAGAATGGGGGGTCCCATGATTATTTGCCTGGAAGAGGTGATGATAGTTACCATTAGATAACATTTAATTTCCTCCTCCTCAGCATTTCAATTTCATCAGGTTTTCCTGGCATGGGTTGGGAGAGAGGTACCAAAAGAGTTAAAAGCTAAGACACTGGAGGCAAACTGTCCTAACATGCACAACATGAGTACTATCAACATTTTGAATCAGTAAAACTCTACCTCATACAATCTACAAACACCAACCTTCTGCAAATCCTCATGAAAACTTCCAATCTTTGATCTACTTGTCATAGAGAAAGCAGCTGAAGACTTCTTTCCTACGGCCTTAGGACCAATTATTGATGGCATGTTGTAATTATTCGGGGCTGGGTTGTTGTCCTGCTTTCCGTATGGAGTGCGCAAACCAAAGGAATATTGCGGGGGAAAGGCATGTTTAAATACTGGCTTTTTCTCTGCCTTGTAATCCCCTTGGAGAAAATAACCACAAGGTGAAAGTCACAATAAGTTGGATATTCTGTTAAAAACTAATTATTTAACTGCCAATACCCCAATAATAAGCATGTTTCTCCGACTATTTTAGCCAGTACCTAGTTATTATAAACCTTTCATTCCCTAACATCAGTATCCATATTCTCCATACTCTTCTCTGTACATTTCCTTAAATACTGAAAGGGAGAATTTGTTAAACAATCAAAGCTTCTTAGGTTGGTGATCATTTTCTTCATTCTCATAATCTAAATGAATGACTTAGAAGTATTACTGTGAGGAGAAAATAGATACTGGACATTCATAGGGGTTAAAAGTGTCGTCTGTGGGCTGAAAGGCTTAGATTTAGTATTTTGGAGGTTTTTCCGGAAAGATAAAGGGAGGGGAGAGAACGAATAATCGAAATTCTAATAATTTCACTTAATGAGATATCACTTTTAAGAGGATTCCACCACAAGAGAAGATACCAGTAAATTATTCGGGAGTGAGTTAAAAGTCTGCGCTTATTGTAGATATTTGTTTAGATTTAGGTAGATCTTGAGCCTATTGAGCGCGACAGTTTACCAAACATGTGTGCATATATACTTTGTTCTTATGACGTCTCCAAGGACGCGCCGGTTGTGGAACAAGAAATTAACTCCGCGTTCCATTGTTTTCTTACACAGCACTACAGGATAAACAAACTCTACAATAAATGGAGCTAAGAGAACAAACTGAACTCACAAGGAGCCGGCGTTTGAAATTTCCCTTGCAAGTTTGTTCGCGAATGGAGAGTATACTTCGGTGTCCCTTCCATTCCGAATCGCGTAACATCTTCTATTTTGTATTTAGGACCAGGTCCTGTCAACTGTTGATTTTTCCACGTTCTTGCGCCAAAACTGAAGGCTGGTTTCTTGTATTTCGTACAATCATGTCCAATGTAACCTGTAGATCCTGGTAAAACATAAGCAGCGGGTCCCGGGCCACGGAACATAGCTCCGATCATAGGACGTCTTCTCTCCGTGTCCGCCATGACGACCAAAGTTTGCCGAACTTTTCACCCAAAAATGAGTAATTAATGCTCAGCTTTCCTACTCTTGAACGTTACAGAAAACCACTTTTCTTATACTTCTATCTAGTTTTTCTACAGTTGAGCTGGGACATGAATTAAACGACAACGAACTACCAGAAATCTTACCGTAAACACAAGTACCCTACCCTATCTCTAAGGAATGGAACGCAGAAGATTAGCATTGCCTAATGAAATATGACACTGTTAAATAATCTTTCTTTTCCTGTCACGCACGGGCGAATCAGTCAGATGTTAAGAGGATTAATTATTCATTCCAAGAATTTGAACCAATCGCTTTCACGCGGCTTACTCTCTCTCACCCACAAAGGGAAAATCCATTGGGACAAGCACTTTGTTTCAAAAGACAAAACGTCAAAAACTTGTTTGACAACTATAAACCCCACTTTGTGTCTTCACCCAATGTTGCTCTCTCAAGATTCTTACAGACTTCATGCCTTTTTGGAAACAAAATGATAATTTTTCCTCAACTTTTTTGACTAATTTGACAAAGATTTATAATTTTCTTGAGGAAATTGGTTTGCAGTAGAGAAGATTGAAAAGATACTGTACTGTAATCAAAGTGCTCTCTTGAACATCAATGTTTACCTGTTAGACAAACACGAGGCAGTATGTATTCAAATAAAAATTATTAAAACCTGCCACTTTCTTCTATCACTCAGACATTTCCACATAAACATAACACAATTCGCATATCCTTGAAAGAGGTATAAGTCTTCCTTGATAAACTTTTATCACATGGTTAAATCCTTTGCATTTCAACCTATTTAAAACTGCTCTTGAACAAGATCTCTAAAAGCAATCAGAAAAAGGCATTTAAAACTTCACCTGCTTTTTTGTGGACAGAGCTTTTTTAATAAAATGCACCATTGCAAGATAAATGCTTTTTTTGTTCCAACAAACTGTGAGCTTTGCAAAATATCATTTTCACCAAGCACAAGAATATACATCAATTAGTTTAGGAGAAAATGAAGATTTTAATCACTATGTTATTAATAACCCTTCAACTCCCAAGATCTGGTTGTTAATTCTCCCCTTCAGCTGCTACACATTTCCTTGTGGATTAGTAACAAGAATTTGGTGTTAGATCAAAATAACAACTTCTCTCTGATAAGTTTGCGTATTCTCATAACCTCTTTGCAGGATAATATATGTATATTAAGTGGAGAACTTCAAAGTTTATCACTTCTGGGCGGTTCACTAAGTTAAAAACTAGAGTTACCTCTTTGCTGGATAGTGTATGTATATTATACGGAGAAGTTAAAAGTTTATCTCTTCTGGGAGGCTCACTAAGTTAAAAACTAGAGGTACCAGTACTTATCTATATTTTTACAATTTTAACAATAATGGATTTAATCCAATGTCAGAATGGAAAATCACCCTCTTCATTCCCTTTCTTAACTCAGTTCTAACCTCTCCCAAAACATTCCCTGCACATTTGTAAAACATGAAAAACAGAGGATTGAACAGTCAGCTGAAGAAAGCTTATTGATTTTATTCTTTCTAAGCAACAGCAAATATTTACAATATAACTCATGACTATGTCAAACCACTTGGATAATTTATTTCCTTGCAAATTAAGCACCTGGGCACCTATTCAACTATTTCGCTCAAAAGAGAGACGCTTATTGGAAGATGGGTGCTTAATCATGGGGAGCCCTTATCAAGAAACTATTAAGCTGTATTGAATCCACTGTAGTTAAAACTGAAAAAGTTATAAATAAAGTGGCAGTAGAGGCAGGTTTTCCTTGTCTTCTTACTATTTAAGAAAGTAAAAGAGGAAGGGGGCACTTGTTTCATATATTGGCCAAGGGGGTTGGCATTTATTTAGGGGAAAGTGCTCAGTTAGAGTGAGGCGCTTTTTGAGGAAATACAGCATATGATTGGCAACTCAAAGATATAATGTTTTGCTGCTCAAGATTATGCAGCAAAGCTAATAGCTCTTGCTTTTTTTCTGACAAACATCTTTCCAAGGTACTCATGTCATGATAGTATACATCTAACTTATGCTATGGTGATTTAACTAGTTAATTTTAGAACAGGAAGATGAAATCTAATATTTTATAAGGGGCAACAGACATCAATGCCTAGTCTTTTGCTTAAATGTTAAAAAAAAAAATTACAGAGGAGCAGCAAATGAAAATTACACAGTCAGTGAGAATGTCACTATAAACACCAGAAAAGGCAAATACTTAATAGTTATCATTTTCACAAAACTTTCCACTGGAATAGTCAAAACATTATGGATAGAGATGTCTGTATTATTTTCCTGTTGAAGATTTCTAGCAAAAACATCCATCATCATAAAAGTTTTGATTCTCTTATTACCATACATGAAAAAATTTCATGCGTCTGACTGGCTAAAAACGAGAGCATTTTTATGTAATACTGGTGCAAAGTTGTAACAAGAGTGCAAAGTTGTAACACAACTGAAAATTACAAGAAGCGACAGCATGCTGCCAATTTTTTTCCATCATAAATTTTGTGTAAATTATTGACAAGTAACAACATGAATTATTGTGCAATTTGGCGTAAATAAGCTCTTGTAAATTCTTTCAGAGACTATAAATTGCACTCGCCCTCCCAGCATGTGCAATTTTGTTGCCTTTGAAAAATTTACTTGTGCTTATTAACACCAAATTGCATGAGAAATCATGTTGTCACCAATAATAATTGAACCTTAAGAGCTGCTCTTACATTACAGAGTGGTTCATGACAAAGATGATAATGGTAAGACATTTCGTTAACTTTAATTCTATTGTCTACATCTGTCTAGGCAGAAGTCATTCAGCCTAATTTTTAAAAAAAGAAAAAAGATTGTTAAGCCAGCTATGTATGCTTATCTTCTCCCTGAGTTGACTTTTTCCAGAATGTTCAAAAACTTTCCTCTTGTCATTTCTCTGGCTGAAAGAAACAAATAAAAAGCCCATTCTACCTGAATTTTATAAAGAGTCATTATAACAGAACCTCAAATAATGTTTGACATCAAAAATTATTTTCTTGATAAAAATTAAAAATTCAATGCTTGTCCTACAATGAATAACTTTGAAATGTTTTTCTATGCATCAGACACAATTTCCAAGATAAAAGTTCACATATTTCATGGAGCCTGGCTTCTAAAAAGCAGTTAAAAAAATAATTGATTAATTATTGGAAGAAGTAAATCAGAATTACCAAAATAATCCAATGAATTAGCCCTCACCTTCATCCAGACCAAGCTGAAAAGCTAGGTTTTGGAGTCCCCGCACTTTCTCCATCAGTTGAGAGGTAGTGAGACTTCCAAATTCTATGATATAAAACAAAAAGATCTGAACACGAAATCAATTCATATATATAAACCTGCTACAAGTAAATCAAACATTTAATTTCACTCAAAACTGGAAATGGCTGCTGTACAAATTTATTTCCATAATTAATGTATATTAATTTTTTATCACCAATTAAGGTAAAGTAAAGTGAAAGTTGCCAGTTAAAGATGGCAGACTAGCTGGTGGCTTTGGCTGAATACTGTCTTTTACTGACAACTTTGAATCTATAAGTTTGAAAATGTATTGTTGATATAGGAAGGGTATGAATCAGATCTTTAGACTGACTGTCAGAGATAACTTTACCTTGTAACATGTCCATGTCATCCTTCTCTAGTTCGGCCAACCACTTTGGTGGAGTACTTGATAATGAAAACGGCTACACACCCATTAAAAAGGATTAAATACTGCATTGAATGGCCACAAGCATTGAAAAACACTTGTTATTATTTTAGTGATAACTGGCCAGGATAGCACCAAGTTTGGTGTCTACTTTCTAGCATAAAATGATTTATAAAAAAAATCACTTTTTAAAGTAAATTCACACTCTTGTGCAAAGATGTCACCTTTGGGTATTACAGTGAATTATACAATATATTCATATGTATGTTCAGTTTTCAGCTTTTGTATCAAAAAGGTTCAAATCTAGTTTCCTGGAATTCTTTCTGTGGATCAAGATCAGTAGTAGGGTGATATCCTGCTATAAACATAGATTCACTCTTCACATCCTTAAACATCAGTATGTGTAATCTCTTGACTACTGCATAAACATTTCCTGTAATGCTAACAAGGAGGATTTATTCGACAATCAAGAGCTTCTTCTTTATATGTTGTTGATCATTTCTTTATTATCATGTCCTCAAAGTTTGATTAAGGATGATGTTGTAAGGAGAAATTAGATCTGACAAGTCACTCAGAGGGATTAAAGGATTAACATATTTTCAATAATAAAAAAAAACTATTACTTACACTAACAGTAAGAGAAGCAAAGTCAGATACACCAGGAACTGTTGATAGAGAATACAAAACTTTAAGTTTTTTAGTTTGAAAAAGAAGACTAATGAGACAAAAACATTATTCTCAGTTTCTATGGATACCAGAATTCTCTTACCCCTTATACACACTATTACCTTAGAGAACACTTAGAAATTCCCCAGGAGAACGATATCAGGTAAAGATGTCAATTATTTTTAAGCAGTCTTTTCCATGGGAAAGTTAGGATATATTTAATCAACCCTATCACTCCCAAATTCTCATTAATAATTCTTCCTACAGTCTGCTATAACATTTTTGTGATGTTAGTTATGAGAATTTGGTTTTGAATCTACTAAGAATTTTGAACTTTAATATATGATATTTTTTGTTATTCTTACCACTTGTTTGCTTGATATAGTATTGAAATTATAAGGAGAAATTTTATCTTGGTCAATAAAGGGAGTTAGGGAATAAACCAATAACATACACACATACATGCATATTTGTTAACCCTTTAACTTCCAAAGGTGATTGCCATGTAACTTCTCCCTATAATACCCATACATGATATAGCAAACAGGTAGTGAGAATACTCAAACTTATCAGGTACAACTTATTATCTTGATTGAACACCAAATTTTCCTAATAAATTTTACAAAGAAATGTGTAGTAGCTAGAGGGGCGAAGTGATGATCAGATCTTCGGAGTTAAAGGGTTAAGGTTAAAATAATGAAAATACAAATGGACAAATCCTATAAAATATTTCTATTATGAAAGCACCATAAATGCTCATGGCCGATTCTATATGTTAAATTTTGATTTTTTATGTTAAAATGTTTAACCAGCTCGAATTTTTCATTTGTTTGTTTTAAATTAAGTTATCATGATCTCATATCAAGGAAAAGAAAAATAAAACTGCTTTTAAGCTTTTCCTACACCAATGAAAACTTTGAACCAAAACAAATTTATCATACTCACACCAAATATTTAAGAGTATGTCAAGTGATAAGCTACATTAGTCCTAGAATTTAAACTTACTCTGTTCGGGCCACAAATCCGGTGAAGCTCTGTCCAAACGTTCAAAACTTAGCAGACCTTGTAGACTTTGATCAAGCTCTGAAAGAGAGAGAGAATGCGATTGCCCCTTGTAGGTGAGTTACATAAAAACTAGTCTTAATCGGCAAAAATGAACATAACAACGCCACAAACCTGGACTCGGTGATTCCATTTTACTATTGCTTACAATTAAACTGCAAAATGATGCAGGTAAATCAAATAAACAGACAAAAACACTAGCCAAACAACTAACAAAGACGAAAGAAAATTCAACTTCTCCGCCCTGAGGAGACACAGTCATCCCCAGTACTTACACCTTTCGCAATATTTTCTAAATATGGTGAAGGGTCCTCTGGGAGCCAACACGTGTTTTTTATTTGCAGCCCCCAGACCCTCCTTCCACGACCCCATAAACGTTCCATCTGACCAGAGACGACACTTCACAATTGCTGTCGTCGAAAATGCTTCGATCCGCGTCGTCTTTCTCGCGCTTACTTTGTAGAGGTGAAAAGGTAAGGATTAACTGCTTCTTCTCTAGAGTACCGTCTTAAGAGATATTTTGATGGCATTGGCTAGTGTAATAAATTGATACTATTGTAAATTACGAAATGTCTATAGTGGTGCGAAACCTATCAGAGCTATATTAAATATGCTTTGTTATGGAGGGAATCACTTAACCCCAAGAGCGCATATTTTTTCGCTCTAGCCCTGGTTATGAAGAATTTACTACTAGTTCACACATATCGAGAAGAGATGATGATCTCTGGTGATTTGCCCCTCTGGGACACCACCAATGACGTTTACAGACCATTGCTCGTGGGGTAAACGTTTAGACATAGTTTTATCTTGGATCTGGTGGCATGTGTTTGAAAATGAAACTATGATGTTACGGTAGTACTGGGAAATAAAAATGTTTTTCCTGGGACAGATTCACAAACTTTTTTCCTAAAACCACAGTAAAGATGGTTTCTGGATTCTCTTGCCTCTATCAGATCCAAGAAATGGTACATCCTCTTAAACTCACGCGCAGAAAAGGAAAGAGTGGTTAATTATTTGTCAGTCATGATGATACACTTTGCTTTTTTTTAGGAAATGGTCTTTTTTTAACCTTTTTGTGATGTAAGATCTCATTAGTAATTCTCTTTACTGTCTGTCATCTATCTCTTATGATGATAGTTGGGATAATTTGATGTTTGATCAAATAATAATCCCTTATGATGTAATAATTAACAATTATTCACTGAGTTGGATGTAAATATTTACTGAGCCATTAAGTAAATATCCACCACTTCCACTGACACTAAATTGAATAATTGCTTTAGTATATACCATACAGGTTTATTTCCTCCTATATACCTAAAAATGGTTGGAAATTAAACTCTTGACATGCAATCTTGTCTCATTGGCTGCTCCAAGGTGAATAGTACTTGCTTTTCACATCTGACATAGTGAACGAGGATGCATGGAAAGAGCTATTCACTTGTGTGGTTTATACCAACAATATACCCCTTTATTCTCATTTCCGGTCAGCTTGATATCGCATTGAGAGACAGGGGCAAGTAAGGAGGAGAGGAAAGGGGGGCTGGTTAGCATGGCTGTTACTACCTCTGGTACATGGCTGAAAGAGATGGTCACTCTACAAATTCCAAAGTTGTTATGTCATCCACTAGAAATTAAAAACAAAATTGTGTGAGGACTATCAAGAATTGCCAGAGATATTCTTATAACTACCTAAGTTGGTGTCTTGTACCTAAGAATTCCAAATGAATTTTAAGCTTGCCTTCCTACCAGCACTAGGTGAATTTATTGCAATATGCTTAATTTCTTTTTAAAATTCTTCTTTTGATTTCACAGACAGCTCCTTTGGCAGCAGCATGCAAGAGGTTTTATGGAGATGGTGTAAGTACTCAGATCTTTTGCGTCAATATTTTGAGACCATTTTATTTAATTATACTGTTCGATCCTTTTCATAAATAAAGCAGCTCCTTGTGGTATTTCCTTCAGTTGTCTTTTTGAACAGTTTCTTAAAAAAGTGGATGATACAATGGTTCAATAACTTTTTCCATATGCAGCTCCTGATGGAGTAATTGACAGCTGTGCCTTAAATGCAAAATCCAAACATGGCAACCTGTTCACAGGCTAAACCATTTAACTCCTAAGAGTGACAAGAATGTAATTGCACCTCATAGTACCACCCCTAGATCACACATTAAGGTCATGAAAATAAAGCAAATGATCACCAACTCAAGAAGCTCTTGATTGTTAAACAAATTCTCCTTGTCAGCACCTCAAGAAATGTATAAATACCAGTATGGAGAATGTGCATACTGATGTTAGGGTGTAAAGGGTTACCAGACAGTAGTAGAAGGTTGCACAGGCAGTGCTAGGCCACTGTTAACTGGCTTTTACTAAAACCACTGTGTTGTATGATCTAATTGGTTATTTACTTTACCTTCTCATGACCTGGTTTAAGGAGAAATTACATGTTAGTCACTCTGAGGAGTTTAAGGGTTAAAAGTTTTGTGTGGCCTTTGAACCACTTGGGCCTTATGGGCAAGTGATTGTATTGTATACAGTAAATGGTTTGAATGCAGGGATAACATGTGATAGTGTAGACTTATCATCTGAGTGAGTGTAGTCCTGAGAAGCTCTGTTGATAAAAGTGGTGACTGACATTTCAAAAACCTGAGCAACAGTCATCATCAGAGTCAAGTGAAGAGTTGTTTGTCAAATGCTGTAATTCCAGATTATACTTTCTTGTAGTTACTAAATCAGGAATTGAAGGTTTTGTATGCTTTTTTCACAGTCAAACACAAAGCTTTTTATCAATGGTGAGTTTGTGGAATCAAAGACTGACAGATGGATTGACATTCACAATCCAGTAAGTGCATATTCACAGACTTTGGGAAAACTTATTATTAATCATTCCCTTATATTTAGAGCAATACTTTTATCCTTTTGAAAGAGAAAGGAGTCTTTGGACCCAGAATGCTTATTATTTCTCAAGGATCATAACAAGTTTACCTTGGTTGCATGAAACCCATAAGTTTTTTCAAAGGTCTTGAAGGCTAAGGTTTTTAGAAAAGATCTATGTTTGACTTACTATCTTTCAAGTCTTCTTTGTGTCACATATATTTGTGTTGACTAAAAATACCTCAGGAATGAAACATTGGAAAAAATTAAACAAAGGAAGGGCTAACACTTGAATCATTAGCTTTGTAAATCTTTGTGGTGGCCAATTTACATCATCAACTCAGTTGATAATACTAAATTACCCTGTTACACTCTCTTACCAATGCAGTACCAAATTTTTTTTCAGAATTGTACCCCCTTTATTAATGCTGTTGTTTGTCTGGCTTTAAAAAATGGCAAAAATAAAGACGACAATGATAAAGTCTTAATAAAGCCTTTTCTCTATAACTTTAACAACAAATTTTGCGTGTCACAGAAAATTTCATGACATAGCTCTCTTAACTTTTAGTCTTGAGAATGTTTTTGTTTTTCCCAAGGCTACAAATGATGTGATCTCCCGAGCTCCAGAGACAACAATAGATGAAATGGAGTCTGCTGTGGCTGCGGCAAAGGCAGCTTTCCCAGCCTGGGCAGAGCAGTCTATCCTGTCACGCCAACAGGTCATGTTCAACCTTCAGCATCTGGTGAAAAAGCACATGGTAGGAAACAATACTGATAAGGTCATGTGGCAGCATAGTTAAGTGTGCTTAACCTGGCACTAGAAGTCAGAGTTCAGGTCTTGGCAGGGTCATTGTGTTGTGTTCTTGGGTAAGACACTTAAATATTAACTCTCATAGTGCCTGTCTCTGCCAAGGGGTATAATTTTTGTACTGGTGAATTCAAAGTAGACATACTCTCTTTGTGCCATAGGAGACTAGGGGATCTGACTTTAGGTTTTGGCCTGGTCATTGTGTCGTGTTCTTGGGCAAGACACTTTACCCTCATGGTGCTTGTCTCCACCCAGGAGTATAATTTGGTAGTAGTGAACTATCAAGGAAGCCAGACAAAATGCTTGAGGGGCTTCCTGAAAAGGACTAGCAGTTGAGTTTGTTGTTGGTCCTTGTCCTTACTCCAGGCATTTTTCTCCAGCTCATCCAGTTTTCGTCCCTCTACAAAAACCAACATTCTAAATTCCAATTTTACCTGGTAGCAGTGGACAAGAAGAGCCACTTAGTAGAATGTCCTCTGCTAAATTTCATTTTATTTATTACCATCCAGTGAATTCAAAGTAGATATACTTCAACCCGTAAACTCTCAGATCAAATTTGTAATTCTCCTTACTGTCAACCATACAATTCTTATAATGTTAGTTCAGAGAATTTGGTATTGGATCAAAAAATTATCCCTAAATTGATATTTTTCTTTATTCTCATCACTTATCTGGTAGATATTGTATTGATATTGTAAGGAGAAATTCTGTCTTGATCACTTTTGGGGATAACTTCTGTAGGCTTTGGTTCTCTTGGCCAGTATCAATATTCTCATTATTGTAATCTCTACATCCTCCCGATGATGCAGACAATGAAGTTCTCTTAATAATATAATGAGGAGCTTTTTTTATTTGAAGATCATTTCCTTTCTTCTCACAACTGTAATGATTGATTCATTGGTGATACTGTGAGGAGAAATTAGATGCTAGTCACTCTTAGTGGCCAAAGGATTAACCATGAAATAATACCACCAATGTTGGAATATGTTGGAGGGATTGATGTAGCTCAATGATATCTTTAAATGGCTATTATAGATAGACAACTTGTATTTTTTTTTTTTTTTTGACAGGGAGAGATTGCTGACATCATCACCATGGACACTGGGAAAACTACGGCAGATGCTTTAGGCAGTGTGCAAAGAGGATTACGTGAGTTTGTGATTTTTTTGTCGTCTCCTATAGCTTTTCTCCCTTAAACTTGAAATGGGTCTTCAATCATTGTGTTCAGCTCATGAGAGTGTTGGGTCTGTTTCCCTGAGTGTTAGGGTCAATAAGTGAAAGAGGAGGTGGAAATGGCATGTGTCCTTTTTGACAAGGGGGCACCACTGCTTCACAGCTCTTAAAAGAAGGCTGTAGGTCATGTGGCTGTGGATGGTCTGTAAAAAACAAAACATGTGAGAGGAGGTGAAGTTAGTACATAAGGTAAGAAAAGATGGAGAGGATGATGTGGCAGCCTAATGCATAACAAAGTGCAATGAAGTTAGATACATCAATTGGTTATAATTTTTTTTCTTTTTTTTTTTTTTTCATTTCATTCAGAGGTTGTTGAACATGCATGCTCAGTTACCACTTTGCAGATGGGAGAAACTGTGTCTCAGATCACCAAAGATATGGATACATATTCTTATCGTGTTCCGCTGGGAGTCTGTGCAGGAATCACACCGTATGTGGAAACTTTATTATTGTCATTGTTATTATTATTAATGAATAGTGTGTATGTGGCAGTTTATTGTGATTTCTTTCCATCCACTACTTTCCGGTCTTTCTTCCTTTTGATAGAAATAAACACACTCAGGCCACAGCCTGCCTGATTACAAGTCATTACCCCTTTTTATGTTTTGGTTTCTGTTATTTATTTCATGACAAGGTCTCCAGTCTTCCTACCTCAACTAAAACCAGTTGTCTAAATTGTAGCCTCAACCAGGAAACAGAGAACAGACAACAAGCTAGTGGCAGTGCTACTGCTAAAATCCAATTTATTTTTACTTTTCCTTCATTTTGTTTTAAACACTACATGATGGTCAATCAAAGAGCTAGTCAAAGCCTGTACTCTCTCTCTCTTGTTTTTGTTTTTTTTTTTTCAGGTTTAACTTTCCAGCTATGGTGCCATTATGGGTAAGTTAAATTCTTGTTTTTAAGAGTAGTTTTCATTTCTTATACCCTTGAAAAAAGTCCATCTATCTATCTATGTCCATCACTCCTCCTGGGGCATAGGCTGCGAATGACAGTCCACTAGAGACCTCTGTTCTGGGTCATCCTTTCTAATTTGTTCCATGAGTGGCAGGTCTCTTTGATGTCAACCTTAAGGTCATGACATCAGGTGTTCCTTGGTTGCCCTCCCTTTCTCTAACCCTGGGGATTCCAGTAGAGGGCCTGTTGATGTTGGTTTGGGAAGGGTGTGCCGTATCCATTTCCATCTTCACCTTCTGATTTCATCTGCTGCTGGTATTTGGTTAGCCTCTCTCCAGAGGTCTGTACTGCTGATGATGTCTGGCCAGCAGACCCATAGAATTCTTCTAGGCAGCTGTTGATGAATGTCTGAACTTTCTTTAAAAAGTGGTTTAACAATAATGCTAAGAGCTACAGAAAAGTTTGCAGCTTAGAGCCCTATTTTTATATGGACCCACAAGAACAAGGACTGTCAAGTTATGATGATGTTTTCCAATAATTTGTTTGTAGATGTTCCCTATGGCACTGGTTTGTGGCAACACTATGATTCTCAAACCATCAGAGAGGAACCCTGGCTCAACTATGTTCATAATGAAGTTGGCACAAGAGGCTGGTGTTCCTGAGGGCTGTGTTAATGTCATACATGGAACTGTTGATCGTAATAACATTTCCTTTTTTAATTAATACAATACAGCATGTTCTTTTTTTTTTTTGCCTGTTTTCAAGAGTAGCAGTTCTACATTTCCTTGTAAATTTATTAACCCTTTAACTCTCAGAAGTGATTAACATGTTATTTCTCCCTATAATATCCTTACATTATCCAGCAAACAGGTAATGAGAAAACTTAAACTTATCAGGTAGAAGTTGTTGCCTTGATCTAAAACCAAATTCTTGTAACCATCTTACAAGGAAATTTGTAGCAGCTAGACGGAAGAATTAACAATCAGATATTGGGAGTTAAAGGGTTAAAGGAGATTGGTTTTACATCAATGACTCCCTCTAGCTGGTAATTTTGTCTTTTCTCATCGCTCCCAAGGTAGATACTGTATCGATATTGTATTGAGAAATTACATGTCAAGTACTTCTGAGATTTGATAGCTTGAAGATAAGCAATAGGTGTTTAGAACACACCCAAGCAGTACTGATGAAAAGGAAGATTTCTATCAGGAAAACCATGCTAACTTAATCATTTGACATTTCACTGTTTGGTTTTTCTGTAGCTGTGAGGTTCATCTGTGAGCACCCAGACATTCGAGCAATTTCCTTTGTTGGATCTGACACAGCTGTAAGTACATTTAAATAATCAACTCTTAAGTTCTCTCCTAACTCTTTAACTCCCAAGATCTCATTAGTAATTCTCCTTACTGTCTGCTATACATTTCTTCTCATATTACTTCTGAGAGTTTGGTGTTGAATCAACTAATAATTCCCCAATTGATACTTTTCTTGGTTCTCATCTCTTGTCTTCTTGATTTTGTATAGATATTGTAAGGAGAAATTCTGTCTTGGTCACTCATGGGAGTTAAAGGGTTAAAGATGTAACCTTGTCTCTCACTGAATTTTCATTTCTTGTCAGGGTAAATACATCTATGAGACTGGTTCCAAGCATGGAAAGCGAGTACAATCAAATATGGTAAAATTAAAGAATGCTGATGTATAAAACCTTTTCACCCTAGTTAATATCAGTATGCATATTCTCCATACTGTTCTCTATACATTTCACAAGGTGCTGACAAGGAGAATTTCTTTAGTTGCTTATCTTGTCCTTTATTATCATGATCTTAATATAAGGAGAAATTAGATGCTACAATTTTGTCACTCTTAAGTGTCAAATTTGTTTTCTTTTTTCTTGCCCTCTGATGGAAAAAAAAAAGGTTCCCTATCGACTCTTTCACGGACAAAAGCACTGTTTTCCACCATCCAGCTATTTGCCTCGTTGTGTTAAAAAAACTTATCCAAAGCATTTCAGTGTAACTTTGTTTCTGTTTACATAGAATACAGTAATTGAAGTTTTCATTGCTGTTGGGTGGAGGTATACTTTGTGAACATGCCATGCTGATAAATCGTAAACAGTGCCTGGCAAGACAGAGCCAGGAAGGGTGAAGGAAATTCAAAGCTCCCCCTCCCTTCTTCAAAGAAAGAATCTCATAAACGGAATACGTTTTCACTGAAACCATGCCCTGACCTCCCTTCCCCCCCTCCCGAAATGACTGTTTATCGTGTCGTTTTTTTTAAAGGGAGCAAAGAACCATGGTGTGATCATGCCTGATGCAAATAAAGAGAACACAATCAACCAGGTTTGTGGCGTTTTTTTAAGAGCGCTTCTCGACTGATTTGTAAAACCAAAACTGAAGTAATTGCAACGGCCAATCAGAACAGGGGAGATAACACAGTGAGCCGATGAGAACTCATGGTGGAAATAAGCAAACTTCCCGAAGCGTGGGAAAATGCGAGCGGTGATGTTGCGAATTGTGTTAGCTTTGCCTTTGATTGGTTAAAAAAGATGGTGTGCGAATTATCGACCAATCACAGAGCAACGAAAAAGAAAACCAGAGAAATTCCAGATCACTAACGACGATTAGTTGAAAACTGTTCCAACTCGGCTTTCCATTAAAATCATCTTGCGACAGAACTACAAATGAAAATGTTTTAGTGAGGTAGAACCAATACAATATTTAAATGACGTTTTAGCTGGTTGGAGCAGCATTTGGCGCCGCAGGTCAGAGGTGCATGGCTTTAACAACTGCGATTTTTGTTGGAGAAAGTAAAGAATGGATCCCTGATCTTGTAGCTAAAGCCAAGCAACTTCAGGTGAACGAAGGTAATATGTCCAAAAAGAACCTTGTTTTAAAATTATTTCGAAATATGTATCTTTAGGCCCTGTACAAGGCACATTTCTATTGTTAATCTTAAGGGTTCTTTCGTTGCATTTTATGTTGTGCGTCCTGCGTTTTTTTATATCGTGATGTTACCTCGTTTGTATTTCTGTAGCATCATCTTCAGTTGACGTAACGTTTGTTGTGTTACGTGATGTTACTCTGTGTTGTACTAAACTTTACGTTACGTTACATGACGTTTTGGTGCGTTACGCGTTCTTAAGTTACCGTACATCTCTTTATGTTGCACCTCAACGTCATGTCTTTTCTCTTTCATCTCGTTAGGTCATCAGCCAGGTACAGATCTCGGACCTGTCATTTCACCAGCATCGAAAGAACGAATCTGTAATCTGGTGCAATCTGGTATTGAGGAAGGAGCAAAGGTAGGAATTTCTCTCTAGCGGAGACATGCCTTCTCGCCAGAATAAAGAAATGTTGGATTTTGCGCTGGAGAGTACCAGCCGATCATGTATTTTCTGCAGGAAGTTGGGTTTCCCCTTCGCGGAAAATCAGTGACACACTCAACTGTGCTTTGTATGCCACTCTTTTGTTCTTACCACAATTTGACGTCATCTTTGATCTATCACTGAACAGACGCACAGCAACATGGAATTTATTTGATAACCCTTTAACTCCCATGAGTGACCAAAACAGAATTTCTCCTTACGATATCAATACAATATCAACCAGACAGGTGATGAGAATAAAGAAAAATATCAATTTGGGAATAATTAGTTGATTCAATACTAAATTCTCTGAACTAACATTACAAGAATTGTATGGTTGACAGTAAGGAGAATTACAAATTTGATCTGGGAGTTACAGGGTTAAATTTACCACATAAAATTTATAGAATGGAATTCAGAGGAATTCTCTCTTTAATTAGGATTCATTCAAATTCAACTGAAGATTTAATCTTTTGACAGGTTGAACTTGATGGCCGTGACGTTGTAGTGAAAGGTTTCGAAAAAGGAAATTTTATTGCTCCAACCATCGTGTCCAATGTCACAGTGAGTAACACTTTATTTTCTATAGTTTTACGCTTATTTAGCCTGTAACTGCTCTTAAAAAAAGAAAGAGAAGGGAAAAAAGGGGAAAATGAGTGGCTTATCGTGTTTGAGCCAATCAGAGTAAGCACGCTCTTTGGTGTGACATTTTGGAAGCGCTTTGCACGTGTTCGAAAATTTCCTAAGTTTTTCATCAGAGGCATACTCCTCAGTACGTAGTTCTGTTTAGCATCTTTTTCCCGCGCTTCCGTATTTTTCAACCCTAGATGCTAGTCTCATCTTTCGCAAGCGTAACAGTATTATTCTTAATACCAACCTAGTTCCCAGGATCTCTCCTCTTTCCCCCTCTCCCCTCCCTCTTATTCTAGGAGGTGAAAAGAAGAAAGAGCCTGGGAACGAGGGTGGTACGAAACATCCTTTACTGCTCACGATTGCCTTTTGTTTCTTTCGTTACTCCAGCCGGAAATGACGTGTTACAAGGAGGAGATCTTTGGACCTGTTCTTATCACTATGAATGCGGACACTCTGGATGATGTAATGTTCAATTTTCATTACTTTAAAATTTCACTTTCACCAGGGGACGCGGTAGCACAGCAGTTGGCACGCTACAGATCACTGGGGTCTGGGCCCCTTTAATTACCAAAATCTGATTCTGGATTATTCGTACTTTCTGTCTTTACATTTCTCGTAATCTTAGCTTTATGAACTTGATGTAAAATCAAGAAACGTTTCTTAGTTGATTATTTTTTTTCTTCTCATAACATTTCTGCTTGAAAATGCATTAACATTACAAGGAGAAATTCCTTTTTGACTCTCAAGGGTTAAAGAATTAATTTTATGGGTTGAACAGAGGTTTGTTCGTTTCATTTAAGGCTATTGACATTGTGAACAGTAACCCGTACGGTAATGGAACTGCTATCTTCACAAACTCTGGATCAATAGCACGAAAATACCAGCACAAAGTGGATGTTGGACAAGTGAGTAACAAAAAGCACTAAAGTGTATTTCTACTGTGTTACAAAATCAGAACAAAGGAAAAAACCCAAAGAAGGAAATCTTTACTTTAAGTAAAAACAAGGAAACTGCTTGAAGCGCGGGAAAACGCGGGTGACCAAGTCGCGGTTTGTGATCTCATTGGTTGAGAAGGTGGCGCGAGCTGTTTTCTGAACCAATCACATATCGAAGTAAAGCAAAACCAAAGCAGTTCTCGATCACTTTTCAATCCATCATTTCTGATTAAACATGTCAGTTGGTAAGATTATTTGATTTTTTTACTTTCATCGCAGATCGGTGTCAACGTTCCCATCCCAGTCCCCCTTCCCATGTTCTCTTTCACTGGATCACGTGGTTCTTTCTTAGGAGATGCGCACTTCTACGGAAAACAGGTTGGTACAGATGTCTCAAACGTGTTGGGGGGGGGGAGGTAACTGTTGATCCTGTACTAGACAAAATCCTTTCATTTCGCTACTTTGCTCAAAACAAAATTGTCATTGAAAATGAGGAGTAGGATTCCTCTCATCTTCTGTGTGCTTGGCTTATTCGGATTGTGATTTCAGCCCTTTATGAAAGAGCCTTACGTTTGGCGAATGATACCAGCTGGAGCGGAATTGGGAGCCAGCCGCCCATATTTTCACTTTTCACTTTTCACTTCTACTGGGTCCCATTTACTATCTAAGAGCTTTGTTTTACTGGCTTACTAAACATCGACTTTTCTTTTGAATTTGTGTTCAGGGCATCAACTTCTACCTGGAAGTAAAGACCATCACAAGTCTCTGGAGAGACGAAGATGCAGAAGCCCTCAAAGCACCAACAGCGTTCCCCACTATGAAGTAAATCAAGGAAGCAAAAAATCAGCACGGAATTCTTGCCATATATGAAGCGTAGATCTCATTTAGTACCCAGATTTTTCTTGTGTGACTGGTCACGGGAGACCTGGGTGTAAGACTAGCACTCCGCCTACGGACCAGAGATTGAGATTTTAATGAATAAAAAAATGGCTTTTGTGTGGGTGACATAAACGAAAGAGATGTAGAGGAAAAATTCAACCGTTCATGTTTCACAACGATACTGTGAGTGTTTAGCGATGGAAGGAAAGTTAGAAACCCAAGGAGAGAAGATTTTTAATGGCGGCTGAATATTATGACTCAGTATTGCTAATGTGCTCTTCAATTCTTGCAGACTATTGAACGTACATCTGTATATTGCTACTCTGTGGACTGTCCGTAAATAAAGCAGTTACCTAACATGTCAATTCTTCAGCAGTGTGGTAGAATGAAGAAAAAGCCCTCTTAAAATGATTAAAATATCGAACTTTGCGCGAGTAACTTCACTGTTTCGATGAGACATACGAAATTATTAAATGAGAGATCACGTGCGCTTGCCTTAGACACCATATGTTATGCTGAATTACACACGCATTTGGATTGATGAAGGATAGACGCTCACCTTTCACAAATTTTATTCTTCTTCATTATTTAAATCAAATAGATTCCATGTTTCCGTGGCTCTGTTCAGTGATAGATCACAGAAGACGGCAAAAGGTGGGTAGAACATCGATGACACATGTGGGTGTGCCTCGTGAACTTCGCTTTTGTTCTTACCACATTTTGACGTCATCTGTGATCTATTATTGAACAGACACACGGCAACATGGAATCTATTCAGTAACCCTTAAACTTCCAAGATCTAATAGTTAATTCTCCCCTTCAGCTACCACTTTATCCCTTGTAATTATAAATTACTGACGAGAATCTGGTATCAGATCAAGATATTTTAACCTAGGGAGAAGAGAAGTTACATTTTTGTCACCTTTGGGAGTTAAACTGTTCGGCAGATGTGCGGCTCTGGCGGTTTGCATTCGCGCGTATATTTGAGAAATATTTCATGAAAACAGTATGACTTTTCCGAGATTCCTTAGCTCAATTTAACATTTGATGATTAGAGAAATAATCCAAAGTTATGCAGACTCTTGACTACGCCCAGATTCTTCAAACATCCTGAGTGTTAATATGAGGCTACGTAAACACGGGAAATTGAAAGTCCTTTTATGGTTAAACTGACGTGGAAAAGGTTCTAAGCTGATTATTACCTGAGATCAAATCATAAGTTATGACATATAAAATGAACATCTTGTCATCTTAATCTTATTTAATTTCAGTCACAGTTTAAACGCCTAAGGAATTAAATTAATTGTTAACAAGCTTAGGACTAATCTTCGTATTTTAGTCTTACAACTAAGTTAATAACATGAGAAACGCCTCCTTTCCTAAACGCCTCTAAAATTAACAATAACTGCTGGTGCTGTCTCATGTGGGTGGTTCGTTTCCAAGGTTGCAGACTTGTGTCTATAATTTTCTTCTCGAACAATTATTTTTGTTAGAGAAGAAATTGAAAGAAAGAGAGACTTCCCTTTCGATGCCCCCTTCCATTCTTCGCAAATGTTCGGCAAATTATTGAAGATACTCGCAGAGACTCGGAATCTTTCGGTTTTTCAGATTGAGGTCCTAGCGGAAAGCCTGGGAACTAAAAATCAGATGGCAAACAAATAACCATCGAGTTGTTCGTGAACGGACGTAAGCGCCTGAAGCTGTCCTTCTTGGCTAAAAATAAAACGGGAAATAGCAGCATCTGCTCATGGACAAGGAACTGTTAGGTTAGAAGCGAATTATGGCCGAAGGAGGAGGTTGGCCGTGGTCCTCTCGCCGTCGAAGTCATCGAGAACGTAACGATAGAGAAGAGAAAGACAGCGACGATTTGGATCGCGACTTGTTGAGAGTTGTTCTAAGCGACTCAGAAGATTTTGTCCCTGAGGACGTCAAAAGCACTTCATCCGTTGCTTGCAGTTGTGCTTCAGATTTTCAAGAGGAACATTCCAGCTGCAATTCATCCAGTGAGAAAAGTTGTCCAAATTTGATCGATCTTGACCCAGAGCTGCCTTCGAATTCTCGTAGCTTACGATGGTTAGCGAAAAAAGTTTCTCGACGTAGAAGTGCTAAAGAATCTGCAAAAACTTCCGCTGATAAGAATCGTAAAAGTGACCGTGATGAAAATGGTCTTAGCTATCACGCTCGTTGTCTGCAAGAAGCGAAACGGGTGAGAGAGAAAGCTGAGTTGGAAGCTTTGCAACGGAGAACAAATCCTCAAGTGCGACGCCGGAGACCACTTAGTTTACTGGGTTCACGATCAGCTGGGAAAGATGGCGATGGCGGGTTTCAAGGTGCGAGGAGAAGAAGGTTCTCGCTTTCGTGGGGGTTTCGAAGGGATGATTCAAATACAGAAGTTGTGGGAGATGGCTATAATGCAGCAGTTCAAACCCTCCGATCCCCTTCACTTCCTCGTGAGGCAAATCAAGACTGCAATCAATCCAATGCTATTAGCCTTGAAGAATTTGAACGAAGGCGAAAGGAAAAGGCTCGAATGAAAGCAGCCCAGCATAAATTGGAGTATTTCCTTATAAACGATATCGCATCTATCACGAATTGCCCGTGGTACTGGGGAAAAATTAATAGATTTGAGGCTGAAAAGGTGAGCTTCAATTTAATTAGCTAGATAATGGTGTATATTGGTACGATGTTATGAGGACTTATGCCAAGTAATAATGTCGACGGAGAAATATCCAACATAGGGGATTTTTTGAAAATAGTTATTTTGCTAGGGGCGACTTTCATTTGAAAACGCTTGTAAAATTATTGCTTGATATGAGAAAGTAAAAGGTTTTCAGGTAGATTTCGTTTTCTTGTTACTTAATCTTGTTACTTACTCTCATCTTTTGGAATAGAGCACTGTTTTGACTCGGCCAATGAAAGCGTATTAAGATACAGTTTTACGACGTGTTAGAAAAAAAAAAAAACTCGAGTAAAATATTTTCCCCAAAGTGCGGAAAAGGTTTCCCTAATTAAGGTATTGATAAGATGTCTCTGATCTAGCTGCAATTTATCCTTTTGCCTCAGTTAAAGATGTGAATATGGCACCTGTCAATTCTTGAGAGTCTAATCTAAATTTGTACAAAGTATTTTAAAAACAGGATGCGTTCATAATGTGCCTCTTAAATTTCATAATGTCATGAACTTTAAAAGGGTTTATCGTTGAGTCTGGAAAAAAATGAGATAGTTTCTTGAGAGTGTCAAAGGATATTGAAATTTAAGCCTTTTATGGTAAAATACTTTTGTTCTGCATAAGCATGCATCTGTTATTCTGCCATAAAAAGGAATTCAGAGGCTGGTGTAGATAGAAAGCGCCTAAGGCACTTTATTTATATCAGATATTTGTTAATGGGAACTAAATGTTTTAATATATTGGGTTTTACAGGAGAGCAAACATAATTTTTTTCATCATCGCATTAGCTATGTCCTCAAAATGTTCCTCATGATAATTAAAGTGCTGATACACATTGATTAAAACTACAAAAACTGCAAAAAAACAACTCGAGTGGGTGCCTTGCAATAGATGTTACTGAGAACTACTTCTCATAGATGTCATGTGTGGGTTGATTTTGGTCATCCGATTATTTTTGTCAGTAAAGTTTGGCTCTGTGCCACTCCATTAAATTACCTTAATATTCGTATCAAGTTTCAAGCTGTGTATTCTAAAAGTGTTCTCTATACATTTCCTATGGTTGTGATAAGGAGAACTTGTATTTCAATTAGGGCTTCTATTGTTAGGAATCATCTCCTTTATTAAGAAAGATGTTTTTTCATCTTGTCACAAGTGTGGGACAAGAAAAGTAGTTTTGTCAAAAACATTACGCTATCGACATTGTTGATCCTAGCAGTATGCGGGACGTGTGTCATGTGAACTTCGTAATAGACCCCGCTCACCGAAGAGTCTTTGTGGCTCAATGGTAGAGTATTGGAGCGCAAATCCAAAGGTTTGAGGTTTGATTCCTCATGGAGACTCAGAATTTTTCTTTGTCCCACGCTCGTGACAAGACAAAAAAACATCTTTCTTAGTTTTTTCACTGAGCTTAAAACTTACCATCTCTACTTTTCTGTCATCTCCTTTATTCTCCTGACATTAATGCTTGATTCAACAGGAATGCTGTAATAAGAATTTACATGCTAGTCACTCTTAGGAGTTAAAGGGTTAATTCTCGTTACCAGTCTGCATTTATGACTTCATGCAAACTGTCACAGAAATCTGACAAGATTGAAGTAGTAACTGGAAAATTAAAAATTATTCCCTTGGACACTACACAAGGTATAATATATTTAGTTATCAGGTTGGTATGAACAAAGAAGACAGGGGATTATGGGGAAGATACAAGAGCCTCTTTATCTCATCATGCAAGGATTTCAACAACTTTTTCCATAGGGGGTTGCTGCTGATTTAATAGGTGGCTGTGCTTGTGAAAACACCTAAACATGAGAGCCTGTTTGCAAGCTAACAGACAGCAGTAAGTGGAGGTATAGGCTTCAGTACCAAAATTCTCCTTACTATCGGCCTTTCATTTCCTCCCATGGTAGTTCTGAGAATTTAGTGTTGCCAGCAAATCAAATTGTATTCCTTAGTTGATATTTTTCTTTATTCTCGTCACTTGTCAATGTGTTATTTTTGTGACATTGGAAGGAGAAACTAGCTCTAGGTTGGCCATGGAGGTAAAAGGGTTTAATCCAGATTCTCAAATTTTTGCTTCAGGTGTTGGAAGGCCTTCCAGATGGAACTTTTCTGCTGCGTGATAGTGCGCAATATCACTACCTGTTCTCTGTGAGTTTCCGCCGCTACTCTCGTACTTATCATGCACGGATTGAACAGTGGAAACATCGCTACAGCTTTGATAAACCTAGTGATTACTCCTTTCACTCCACAAGTGTTTGCCAGCTGTTACAGCATTACTCTCGAGCTGAGCAGTGCATGTACTATGAACCTCTTTTGCTAAAGCCATTGCATAGGAGGAATCCAGTTTCACTGCAAGATCTGTGCCGTGCAGTGATTAGCAGCCACACAACATTTCAAGGAGTCAGTGATCTTCCTCTGCCAAACACCCTTCAGATTTTCTTGAGAGAGTTTCATTACAAAGTTCCAGTGAAGAGGACTGAGGAGAAAAGTACCCAGACACTGGCACCAAGAAAGAGATTTAGCTTCTCATTCCATAGAGACTAGGTTCTAACTTAATCCTAAAGTCCCTAACATCAGTTTGCATATTCTCCATACTGTTCTTTACACATTTCATTTGGTACTGACCAGGATAATTTTTTTAACACATAAGATCTTTTCCCTAATGACTTTAGCATTCAATTCAGCAGTGATGTTCTT